AGCAGGCTTCTCACATAAACAGTGAAATTCACCTCTCACAATACACTCAGAAACATCCAACATGCCAATGGTCAAGTTCCTATCCTATCACCTATCACTTGGGGATGTGTGTATGAGATCTCATGCAACTGGGGAGATAAAAATATTGGAAAGACTTCACGCCCCATAGCCACAAGAATAAAAGAACACAGGACCTCTGTTTACAAATCTGACATGTAATCTGCCCTTTCGTAACACCTCATCAAAGGTCGAACTACCATAAGGTCGAAGTATACAAGCCTTGTTTGTACCCTGAGGTCGAAATGTACAACCCTTGTTTGTACATGGAGGTCGAACTATACAAGACGTGTTTGTACATGGAGGTCGAACTGTACAACCCTTGTTTGTACATGGAGGTCGAACTATACAAGACGTGTTTGTACACTGAGGTCGAACTGTACAACCCTTGTTTGTACCCTGAGGTCGAACTGTTGAATCCTTGTTTGTACATGGAGGTCGAACTATACCAACCTTGTTTGTACACTGAAGTCGAACTGTACAACCCTTGTTTGTACATGAAGGTCGAACTATACAAGACGTGTTTGTACACTGAGGTCGAACTGTACAACCCTTGCTTGTACATGGAGGTCGAACTATACAAGACGTGTTTGTACACTGAGGTCGAACTGTACAACCCTTGTTTGTACATGGAGGTCGAACTGTTCAACCCTTGTTTGTACGTGGAGGTCGAACTATGCAAGCCTTGTTTGTACATGGAGGTCGAATTATACAACCCTTGTTTGTACCCAGAGGTCGAACTATACAAGAGGGTTTGTACCCAGAGGTCGAATTATACAATCCTTGTTTGTACCATGAGGCCGAGGTATACTGTACATTAGTTTAAAATCCCCCGTTATTTTGCCTTTTACGCCCAAGGGACTATCTTTCGGTGGATATCGGTTATTCGTTTCATATTCACTTGACCTGGTGTTGAATAAATGTACGCATGAAAATGAAAGCTCTGACCCCGAAAAAAGGAATATGTTAAGATTGTAGCCTGGCTTTGTAGCCTTTTAAGTCGCATTGCGTAGTCATGCCTGGGTTGTTATATGTTGGGGTGTAGTCTTTTGTGTTGTTATTTTCGTGTGTTTTCAATATTTGTACTCGGAAGTCAGACTGTGGATCCCTTATTAGCACTCGAAAGTCTAACTATACAACCCTTGTTTGTACCCTGAGGTCGAATTGTACAGCCATTGCTTGTACACGGAGGTAGAACTATACAACCCTTGTTTGTACCATGAGGTCGAACTGTACAGCCATTGCTTGTACACGGAGGTCTAACTATACAACCCTTGTTTGTACCATGAGGTCGTACTGTACAGCCATTGCTTGTACACGGAGGTCTAACTATACAACCCTTGTTTGTACCATGAGGTCGTACTGTACAGCCATTGCTTGTACACGGAGGTCTAACTATACAACCCTTGTTTGTACCATGAGGTCGTACTGTACAGCCATTGCTTGTACACGGAGGTCTAACTATACAACCCTTGTTTGTACCATGAGGTCGAACTGTACAGCCATTGCTTGTACACGGAGGTCTAACTATACAACCCTTGTTTGTACCATGAGGTCGAACTGTACAGCCATTGCTTGTACACGGAGGTCTAACTATACAACCCTTGTTTGTACCATGAGGTCGAATTGTACAGCCATTGCTTGTACACGGAGGTCTAACTATACAACCCTTGTTTGTACCATGAGGTCGAACTGTACAGCCATTGCTTGTACACGGAGGTCTAACTATACAACCCTTGTTTGTACCATGAGGTCGTACTGTACAACAATTGCAGTGTAATGTCGTTGTTCATGCTATCACTCACTGGTTTGCCTGGTTCAGACTCAGGCTATTTATAGATCGCCGTGACATAGCTGGGGCGTTTGTGCGACATTAAACAACACTCCTTTATTCATTCAACGCCATGAAGAAAAGTATTTCTGACGACATTTCCAGATTTCAAGAGCCAAGGATTCTGTAAAAGGTTGTCCCCCTTCCAGTTGGTCGGACGCTGCTTTGGAGGAGCGGCAGCATGTATACTGAGTCAAATTAAAAACTTCACATTTTTAAAAGTAATCCCGTATACGACATACAATGGACAAATGTATCAGAGAAGGTAATTTTTAATCATTCATGTCCAAAGAAGGATTTTAATTAACGGTGGTAACCATAATTTGTTCCAAGCACCTACGGTATTCGGTAATAACATCAACAGTTTAAATCATAAGTCCCAAGCACGAGAATCTGATGGCACACAAGTTCAGTAGCGTGTATGGCCACCATGTGCGTTGACAACTGCCACACAACGCCTCCGCATGGACCTTGTGATGCTTGTGAACACATGATTGGGAAGACGACGCCATTGTTGCTGCAAAATGGTGCCAAGATCTTGCAAATTCTGTGGTTGGTTCTGGAGAGTGCGCCGACTTCTGCCAAGAGCATCCCAGATGTGTTTGATGGGATTGAGGACGGGAGACCTTAACGGCCAGTCCATGACGTTGACTCCCGCATTCTGAAGGAAATTCCTTGTCAAATTTGCTGTGTGGGGTCTGGCATTGTCGTGTTGGAAGATGAAACCGGGTCCATGTGCTGCCATAAAAGGCAGAAGTTCTGGTGCCAGTACCTGGTCGCGGTAAGCAGCAGCGTTGAGGTTGCCACGGATGACAAGAAGCCTGGAACGTGCATTGCCACAGAAAGCACCCCACACCATGACACTTCCGCCTCGAAATCTGTCAACTTCCTGTACACAACACTGGGCGTAACGTTCATGACGGCGCCTCCACACCCTCGCCCTACCATCAACAAATCGAAGATTAAATCGGGATTCATCACTGAAGACGACTTGATTCAAATTCCGCTGAGTCCATCGTAAGTGTCGCTGTGCCCACAATTGACTTTGACGTCTGTGTAATTGAGTCAGAATCGGCCCGCAATATGGCCGTCGTGCTTGAAGGTGAGCAGTTCTCAGACGGTTTCGAACAGTTTGCGCACTCAGTCTACCACTAAACAGTTCATTTCTGGTTGATGTAGCCGTCAAAAATCGGTTACGGAGGTGGCGTAAGACAATCTGACGATCCTCTGCATGTGACGTCACACGTGGTCGACCTGGCCGAGGGCGATCAGCGGTGGTACCCGTTTGCTGAAGACGCGTCTGTAAATCTTGAACAGTCCGTCGACTACAACCCATCGTCCTTGCGACTTCAGCTACGGACGTTCCCGTCTGCAACATGCCGATGGCACGTTCATGTTGCACATTTGAAAGGCGTGGCATGACAAATGGGGTAAAGATTTTTGATTTCTTGTGTTTTTCTTTTTTGGGTAATGAATGCTAACAAGTATGGCTGAAAACACGTGCGGTATTATGGCCACGTGACCAGTTGCACGTGCAAAACCTCTTTTGCCACTATAGAGCTGTGCACATGATTTTGATCGATTCACCTGCACAAAAACGGGTGTTATCTGAAGACAATACGTGGCCATTACTGTTTAAATACACAATAAGGGCTCACAATGATAACTGGTCAAAATGTTAAAATTTTAGGATTGTGAAGTTTTTAATTTGGTTCAGTATATAATACACTATATGGCCCTTTCTCAAGTTGGCATATTTCTTGTACATATGTGCTGACTTTCTTTTGTGAATGAATCCGTTTCTTCTCATTCTTTTTTTCGAAGATTAAAGGTTCGACAAAAGCCTCTGATGTTCGTTAAGAATGAAAATGAAAGCTCTGACCCCGAAAAAAAGGAATCTGTTAAGATTGTAGCCTGGCTTTGTAGCCTTTTAAGTCGTATTGCGTAGTCATGCCTGGGTTGTTATATGTTGGGGTGTAGTCTTTTGTGTTGTTATTTTCGTGTGTGTTCATTATTTGTACTCGGAAGTCAGACTGTGGATCCCTTATTAGCACTCGAAAGTCTAACTATACAACCCTTGTTTGTACCCTGAGGTCGAATTGTACAGCCATTGCTTGTACACGGAGGTCTAACTATACAACCCTTGTTTGTACCCTGAGGTCGTACTGTACAACCATTGCTTGTACACGGAGGTCTAACTATACAACCCTTGTTTGTACCATGAGGTCGTACTGTACAACCATTGCAGTGTAATATCTTTTTGATATTGGAACAGTGTGCAATTAGTGATTCCGAAGCTGATTGGTCATTTTAACAAAGATCAATTTGCATTGGACAACAGGACTATTTTTTTTCTCACTGAGTTCATTCACAAATCCACGGCATTCATTCACTTGTTTCGCGTGCCACAATCTCACTGATTCGAGATATTTAAGACAAGAAACATAGTTTTCAAGCCGGTAACTCCGATTCAAACTGAGATTTTTATCGACACTATGTGGATCCTTGAAACGGTTTAATTTTATTCACGAAGGTAAATAGTTATATATACAAAGCACAGGGATATGTAAAGTAACATCAACTGAATAACACATAACTGATTATTATCAAATGAATAGTGTAAAACAATCCGATAAACTTGGCATTACAATCCGACAAATATGCAAACGATGTCACCTAGCAGGAACTATATTAATAAGCTTCACAGGTCGATAAGGGCCAAACGGGTAGCCTGGTGGTTAAAGCGTTCGCTCATCGCGCTGAAGACCCGGGTTCGATTTCCGACATGGGTACACTGTGTGAAGCCCATTTCTGGTGTCCCCCGCCGTGATATTGCTGGAATATTGCTAAAAGCGGCGGAAAACCATACTCACTCACTCACAGGTCGACGTGATGCCTAATTTTTGCCTTATACTGTTGTCAAACTGTAAAATAGAGGTTTCCTGATGTGTGAGAGTTTTCTCAAGCAAACATGGCTGCGAACCATTTGACACCCGACATCCAAATTTACTTGGTTTCTTAAGTTCCTATAGCTCACTAAAATATATCGTAAACTTCCTCAGTCAATCCTCCAAAAATATCTGCACTTTTACTCCATTTTTATCATGACTGATTATTTCAGTCAATTTGTAAGTTGACTGACGGAATCAGTCATTGAAAAAACTGCCTGAAGATGTCCGTCTTTTAACAAACTGGTTACCGAACATTGACTTAAGCATAGATATAAGCTCAATGGGTAGGTAGAACTTGTGGAGAAGGTAACCAGTATCCTTTGCTTATTGTGAGAGGGGCGGTCGGGTAGCCTGGTGGTTGAAGCGTTCGCTCGTCACACTGAAGACCCGGGTTCGATTCCCGACATGGGTGCACTGTTCGAAGCCCATTTCTGGTGTCCCCGCCGTGATATTACTGGAATATTACCAAAAGCGGCGTAAAACCATACTCACTCACTCACTCACTTATTGTGAGAACTGGTTAATGAGGATGTGTTGTAATGTACATATGTGCAACGGGTCGCTGACGTAAATCCTCGATTGTCACTTGTCACGTGTTCGCCAACGTAATACTTAATGATTTACAACACATTGTGATTACTTTGTTACTCGAATATTTCTGACAGAGACATAATTAAAACGTACTCACTCGGCTCAAGATGCCTGCACAATCAGCAGCAATCCAGACAAATATCCCTACAGTGTATAATAACACATCTAAAAATACATTTCAAATACACGTCTGTCACATCTTCAAGTGGTTGCATTACTCCTGGTATACTGATCACGATGGGCAATAAATGAGCCTGACATGGATGGTCATCACTCACAGTGAACCCTTTCTGCAGTAGTTTCTCCAATAATGTCAGCCATGTTTGGGACAAGGAGCAACGACCCGTCCGGGGAACATCCTCCTGCATATCCGCCACATCTGAGGCGAATTACAGCTCCATCATCGCTCCTGTCAGGGGCCTCCATGGCTGCCTTCCATCCTGTTTCTCTCCATTGCTGATCCGGGGAGACAATCCATCCTGTTTCGCGTAGATTGATTGTGAACTCGCCTTTAAGACCACAATGACGTGCAACTCCATTTTGGTGCTCGGTGTAACAATCACGCGCATCTCCATACTTTGGAGGGTTTCCAGAAACACGAGCAAAAGTTGTGTCATCTCGAACAATTTCCAATGTAAGCAGATCTACTCTAATTTTGTTGTACCAAACCTCTCCTACTAGGGGCAGGCAGGTGGGATATACCCCACCTTCTCCGCGACAAAATAAGTTTGTCCTTGAGGGGAAAGTACCATGATTTTGAAATTTTAGTGTGAGATATTCCCTTGGACTCTGGCTTCCCATGTCATGGCAGTAGATACGGGTCCTATTGAAGTCGAAGTTCGGCAGTCTCATCCAGTACTCTCCGTCACCACTATCCGGGTTGCACTGCTTCACAGCGACACATGATGATGGCTCGGCCAGCCGACAGTTGGCAAATGTCCAATTACCAATCGCGCCACATTCTGCCCTCGTCTCAGGTAAGAAGAAATCTTTATCACAAGTGTACTTCAGAACTGTTCCCACCGGACTTTCAAAGTAAGACACTGTTGTATTCAGGGTTGTGTAGGGTATATCGGGGATGTCAGAAGTTAAACAACCAGACACTTCACACACTGGATCCGACGATGCAACGCAGCGGGAATTAACGTTACAGCTGTGATTAGCACAAGAACCTGCCATGCTAGTGGGCCAGGTCTGGATGTCCGACTGTACGGAGGAGGAAGGAGCGGTCTGTATGTTGGTGGGAGCTGTACTCGTGAAGGAATGTCTGTTGAGTTCACACAAACCCGTTGCTATATTATAGTTGATGGATTCACAGCCTGTTTTCAGAAGACAGTGTCGGGCACAGGTCATCAGTCCATCGCTTTTAACAGAGTAGATTTGAACCTTTGACAGTCTCACACCCTTCTTCAGGGCGTATATGCTATGTAAATCCGTGCACATCTGTCCCATAGTTTTGGAAACTTCAGTCAGAAGAAATCCAACAACGAACGTCAACGTTGTAAGATACATTCTGCAACACTTTCTAGAACGCACAATATAGTCAATCTAGTAACAGACAGATTTTAAAATGCGCCAGGTTGCGTCGAACCACTACCATCCCTCCGCAGCTCGCGGAGCCTCATTACATCTGGTAATAGCGACTGAAACACGTTCTTCTAATTGCGTCATCATGTGTATTGATTATGCCCATGGGCTTGTCAAGGCGGTAAATTAGTTTCCAATCAATTAACGAAACACAAAAGATGTAGTTCACTTTACCTAGCGTATCATAAATGTATGACTGAAGTTGAAGGTTCTCCTGTGTAGGTTCTTTGAGGGCAATGGGGCACGGGTGGCCCAGTCATCTAAGGCGCCGCGATTCGCTGTGCAGAGTTGCGTCCCTTGGGCACGCCAGAGACCTATGATTGTGGGTTCGAATCCCGATTCGCTCCGATTATGTTTCTAGGAATGTCAGCACCATACCCGTGCTCGTGGGTTTCACCGAAGTGGTAAACGTCTGAGACCTGCATCACTTCGGGCTTTCCTCCCACATTAAGCTGACACGCCGTGATATAACTGGAATACTGTTAAAAGCAGCGTTAAACCCAGCTCACTCACTCATTGTGGTAAAACCAGCCCCGTCATCTATCCTTGTCAGCATCCCATACCAAGGCTGTACCAGCGAACACATCAGCAGGCTTCTCACATAAACAGTGAAATTCACCTCTCACAATACACTCAGAAACATCCAACATGCCAATGGTCAAGTTCCTATCCTATCACCTATCACTTGGGGATGTGTGTATGAGATCTCATGCAACTGGGGAGATAAAAATATTGGAAAGACTTCACGCCCCATAGCCACAAGAAAAAAAGAACACAGGACCTCTGTTTACAAATCTGACATGTAATCTGCCCTTTCGTAACACCTCATCAAAGGTCGAACTACCATTAGGTCGAAGTATACAAGCCTTGTTTGTACCCTGAGGTCGAACTATACAAGACGTGTTTGTAGATGGAGGTCGAACTGTTCAACCCTTGTTTGTACACTGAGGTCGAACTATGCAAGCCTTGTTTGTACCCTGAGGTCGAACTATACAAGACGTTTTTGTACACAGAGGTCGATCTGTACAACCCTTGTTTGTACCCAGAGGTCGAACTATACAAGAGGGTTTGTATCCAGAGTTCGAATTATACAATCCTTGTTTGTACCATGAGGCCGAGGTATACTGTACATTAGTTTAAAAGCCCCCGTTTTTTTGCCTTTTACGCCCAATGGACTATATTTCGGTGGATATCGGTTATTCGTTGACGTTTTATATTCACTTGACCTAGTGTTGAATAATTGTAGGCATGAAGACGAAAGCTCTGACCCTGAAGAAAAGGAATCTGTTTAGATTGTAGCCTGGCTTTTAAGTCGCATTGCGTAGTCATGCCTGGCTTGTTAGATGTGGGGTGAAGTCTGTTATTTTCGTGTGTTTTCATTAGTTGTACTCGGAGGTCAGACTGTGATATCCCTTATTTGAACTCGGAAGTCTAAATATACAACCCTTGTTTGTACCCTGAGGTCGAACTGTACAGCTATTGCTTGTACATGGAGGTCTAACTATACAACCCTTGTTTGTACCATGAGGTCGTACTGTACAACCATTGCTTGTACACGGGGGTCTAACTATACAACCCTTGTTTTTACCATGAGGTCTCACTGTACAACCATTGCTTGTACAGGGAGGTCTAACTATACAATACTTGTTTGTACCATGAGGTCGAACTGTACAGCCATTGCTTGTACACGGAGGTCTAATTATACAACCCTTGTTTTTACCATGAGGTCTCACAGTACAACATTGCTTGTACACGGAGGTCTAACTATACAACCCTTGTTTTTACCATGAGGTCTCACTGTACACTATTGCATTTACACAGAGGTCTAATTATACAACCCTTTGTTTGTACCATGAGGTCGTACTGTACAACCATTGCTTGTACACGGGGGTCTAACTATACAACCCTTGTTTGTACCATGAGGTCTCACTGTACAACCATTGCTTGTAGACGGAGGTCTAACTATACGACCCTTGTTTGTACCATGAGGTCGTACTGTACAACCATTGCTTGTACACGGAGGTCTAACTATACAACCCTTGTTTGTACCATGAGGTCTCACTGTACAACATTGCATTTACACGGATGTCTAATTATACAACCCTTGTTTGTACCATGAGGTCTCACTGTGCAGTCATTGCTTGTACACGGAGGTCTAAATATAGAACCCTTGTTTGTACCATGAGGTCGTACTGTACAACCATTGCTTGTACACGGAGGTTTAACCATACAACCCTTGTTTGTACCATGAGGTCGTACTGTACAACCATTGCATGTACACGGAGGTCTAACTATACAACCCTTGTTTGTACCAGGAGGTCTCACTGTACAATCATTGCATGTACACGGTGGTCTAACTATACAACCCTTGTTTGTACCGAGAGGTCGCACTGTACAACCATTGCTTGTACACGGAGGTATAACTGTCCAGTGAGTGAGTGATTATGGTTTTACGTCGCTTTTAGCAATATTCCAGCAATATTACGGTAGGGGACACCAGGAATTGGCTTCCCACATTCTAACTATACAACCATTGTTTGTACCATGAGTTCGAAATACTAACCTTTGTTTTTATCATATAATGGGTGGGTTTCTCGGCAGGATAAAGCCCACACTCCTACCCAGAGTTCCATGCCACCAGCATAGTACCTCTGCCACAGGCCAGCGCCATGTGACGATTCGTCACATCTTACACCGTCAATTCAAGATATTGCATATGTTTTTCATCTGTTTCATTTTTGACAAGTCTACATATCTAGATAAACATATGTCATAGAATGGTTAACTGTCATTGAGAAAATATCCAAAATCGTGAAAAACTATATCCATTTGCATAGTTATCCTATGTTTACATTGGTTGTATGGCTCCACGTGCTGTCATCGAAGCCCCACGGAGAGCTGGCAATATGGTCACTTTGATGTGTAAATATACTAAACAACAAAAGTTCCTGTGACATTGAATAAGATTTAATGCAAAGTTATTTTTTTTTACCAAATCTGAAATAATTTCGGTTTGCAACAGATAAAAGACTCCTGTAAGTGTTCAAATGGTTTAATTTGCCATACTGACTTCAGAAAATGCGTGATTTCGTAAAAAAACATGAACATGCCAAAATGTCAATTTACAAATCAATAGCGTGTATGTCCACCTCTGGTTGCGATGCAAGCAACACATCTTCGTCTCATGGAATGGACCAGGCGTCGCACAAAGCCCTGTGAGATATCTGTCCATATCTGCTGGAGCATGTTTTGAAGTTCCTGGAGTGTCTGTGGAACACGTGATTGTCGTCGAAGGCGCCGATCCATCTCATCTTACATGTGATCGATTGGTGAGAGATCAGGGGACCGAGCCGGTCAGGGGATGACTTTCACGTTGTTTTGTTGAAGAGACTCCTGAACAAGTCGAGCAATATGAGGCCGGGCGTTGCCATATTGAAAGGTAATGCCTGGGCCATGACGACGCAAAAACGATAGAACAACAGGACCGATGATCTCGTCGCGGTAGCGCTGTCCATTGAGATTTCCCTCTACCACTATCAAACGGGTCCTCTGTCTTCCTGTAATCCCATCCCATACAATAACGCTGCCGACCCCGAACTGATGTTCTTCCATGACACAATAATTAACGTAACGTTCACCTCGACGTCGGTACACTTGAATCCGTCCATCTCGGTGGCTGAGGTGAAAATGAGACTCGTCAGTGAATAGAACTTGTCCCCACTGCATGGCCGTCCAGCGTAGACGTCTCAGCACTGTTGACGTGCTTGACGATGGTTTCCTGTCAAAATGGGACGTCTGGCGGGTCTTCTGGCGACAATCCCTGCACATGTGAGGCGACGACGTACGGTTTGTGAAGATATTCGTTGAAGGCCAGGGATGCTTCTTGCAGTCACTGTTACTGGCTGGAATCGATTTCGTAGGTCTGTTGTTCGAATCAAGTTGTCTTGTTGATTATTGTTTAGGCGTGGCCTGCCACTCCGAGGATGGTCTCTGACTGCCAAATGGTGTTTCTGTGGACGTTTAATTGTCTTGCAACATCACGTTGACTTGATCCTGCTTCAAGCATACCAATGGCTCGCAGACGCTCACTTTCGGACAGGCGTGGCATTTCGTAATGTTGAATAATTGCGAAATTTTGTTGTTTTTCTGAGTGGTTGTTGTCAGCACGATGCTAAACAATGCATATGGAATCCCGTTAATGCACATGTTTTTATACCCATTCTTGGGTTGTGAAATGCATGGGGCTTGCATAAAAGTCAACTTTTGTATGGAATGCAGGCTTTTCTGAAGCAGTTGCGTTTTTGTGACTTGATTCCATACGTGTACAACAATATTGAAAACCAAACTGTACTTGTTTGAAAAATACACTAAAATATTGGCGTCACAGGAACTTTTGTTGTTGAGTATATGTTATTGTCATGCAACTCATTGTCGCAGTTGTTGCAGCATATTTATATAATTATGCAAAACAATCTGTAAAGTGCCCTTAAATACTTACATTAGTCTGATTTCTGAAAAAAAGCGTGTTTGTTTACAAACAGGAGAAACGTCCGGTCCCGTGATTTGCAAATTAGCCTGTTGCAGTGGTGTTATGCTAAGTCACCACTGCGTCGGAGTGTGGATAAAGCCAACTGATAAAAACGATATCCGTTGAGGTCATATGCGCATGGAGATGCAAATAGCAAAGGTCAAGTAGGCACTACTGTTAGATTGTGGTAAAAGGTGCGTATTTGAGATTTACGTTCTAAGGGAAGCAACTCTATTATGCTCGCTCTAAACCACGCTTGTCGGAATTGGCCAATCAGATTGCAGCGCGCACTCTTGTCTGTGTGTCGAATCCTATTAAACGTTGTGACCTGACATTTTCTTCGGATTATTTTCAGCCTGTACGGTTGAGGGATCTTACAAATTTGTCGAGCGTGCCAGGATACTTCCACAACGCAACATAGGACCAAGACCAAAGTAAATGTCAGACGACGTGTTTTGGACCATCAAGGGGCAGATCTATCAGCATAAAGCAGAGA